AGCGCAGGGGAATATCTGCTCTTTTTGCACATCGCGTTCGTCGACTACGAGAAAGCATTCAACACTACCGAGTGCAACACAGTGTGGACTGCACTGGAAGGGCAGAACATTAACACATGTGGCATCGGACTGCTAAAGGAAACGAACTCAAGGTGTTTCCCAAACATCACGCAGTTGGATGTTTCTGCGGATTGCCGAGGAGAATGGCGCGAAGCGAGCTCTTCACCACCTGTTTGGAAATGGTGTTTTGGAGGATAAAGTGGAACGAGGTGATTAAGGTCATCGGTGGACTCTTCAGCCACATAAGGTTGGCTGAAGACCTGTGGATTTAAATGGAAAACGCCAGTCAGCCACAAGACACACTGTAAGACCTGATCAGAAAAAGCTCAAAAGTCTGACTTCGAAATAATTGGTTAAAGATGAAGTTTCTGCAACCGAATGCCTTGCGAAGGTCCAGGTGATATGAAACGATGAAAAGATCGAGGAAGTCTATAAATACATTTACTTGGGCCAAGAGGTCAACATGCGGCATAATCAAATGGGAGAAATTCGACAGACGGAGGGAAAGGCCGGTTGGCGCGCATTCCATTCTATCAAAGACGTCCTCGCAGGCGACATCAAGAAAGAAGCCTGCGTCCAGCTCTTCAATTCTACTATCCTGCCAGCGATGCCATATGGCTATGAGACATGATCACTCACGAAAGTCGAAAAGCGCCGACTATCAGTCATGGAGGAAGCTGGGGAAAGAAGAATGTTTGGAATGTCACGTCGCGACCACATTTTCAACACGGTGATCAGTGGACAGGAACGAAGGATGTCGTTGTTGAAGCGGAAAACAGAAGCTGCTGTTTCCCGGACACGTAGCTTGGCTGATGGATGTGAGGTGATCGGCGATGTTCGCCGAATGGTACCCTCATGAACGTACTCTGCCGCTTGGTCGCCCACGACGACCATGGGAAGATTACATAATGAGCCGTGAAAGCCACGGTTGTTGGGAGGAGGATCAGAGGTTACGAGGAAGGAAATCTTGTTGCGGCCGGTGCGATTCGTGGCCGATTCGCTGGTCGGTTCAAGTGATCCCAACGATATTCTGCAGGGCTAAATTGTAGTTTTTTCAGAACTGTTTGTATATGTGCAATTAATACACATATTTGAACTCAAAAATGATTCAGAATCGTAGAACTGCTTAGGACTGTATGAACGCTGCATATTAAGGATCAGGAGAATGAACATGGGTAGACTATGAGAAGGGTGACTTTACGAGAGCAGAACTGAGACTGCGAAGGAAACTATAAGCGCGATGAAGACAGAAGTTGCAGTGGGTTAGACATATGTCAAGAGAATATTATTACTGACGTTGGCGTTCGATCGACTGCAAACGAAACTGAAAATGACCAAGAGGAGATCCAGCGGAATGGTGGCAAGATGTAATCGCTTAGTATCTCAGTTCCATGCGGGTGCGATGCAGAAAATGCAGCTCTTGGCTGTATTCATATGGAGGCTGTCATCCAGTAACGGATTGAGACCGACTGTTGATGACGAAATGAAATGGTAATTACGTATTTTTTGCACTGTTCATTTTCAGTGGTCGCTAATTGTTTCGAGTTATGGTTGCGGCTGCTTCCGTAGGTTTGTCCAATGTCTGTGTCGGTGAGCTTCATGGATTGGATTCCAAAACACGACAGTGTCACGTGTACGGTGCGTCCCAGATGAAAATCTCAAGAAACTTATGGATCCGTTTCAGGTTCCGGAATCTCATCTGACCGTCTGTCTGCATCTGGACTGTCTTCAAGCTTTGCTCAAGAAAGTCTTTCTGGCGAGTCACCGTTGTGGCTTTCTGTTCATATAGCTGTAACGTCGCAAATGCCATTAGGCGAATAGGTAGCTCGCGAGCTTTGGTGTCTTGGATTGACGTGTTCCGAAGCTTGTCTAGCCTTGTAAGGCCTGCAACCCTTCGAAGGAATCCCGATTCTATAGGTGGCATTCTTTCGGTCAAGACAATTATTAGGTAACATCTCAGGTAATATCATTTATGGTGGACGATGACCAGTCAGGCGAATGACAGCTCTACCTTGAGGGCAACTCTAGAGATACGAATCTAACGTAGCGGGTTATTCTCGTGATATTTTGCGCTGTGATAAATAAACCAAGTTCTGTTTTTCAGCTGTAACTATTTTCTTAATATGTTTCAATTGATACTTCGACGTAGAGCCCCAATTTGCCACTATTCATAATTCAGAATACCAGCTTTGCGTTTTTCGTTAAATTTCATGTGCTTTTGTTTTTAAGTAAGTTTCAAAGTCGACACATGACGAAATCCAGTAGCATCGTTTCCTCTACAAGGGGGTAGAAAAACATTTTGCGCTCTTCATCGAGGTCTCATTGAGTCTGACGTCGTAGAGTTTTTCTCCGAAAACTACTTTCCTTAACTGCTTTAGTTGCGGCCAGAAATGATGTACTCTACGTACTTTTGCCAATGTTCTATGGCATGAGAATCAAAGTACAGTATAGAAGCACACGCATAAAACAAAAGCTGCGGCAGGCACGTAATTTCTAGCAACCAATCGTTATAGCAGATCATAATAGTTATAGCAGCAGATAATCTATGGAATGACGAGAGATGGTTGATTAACTATGTCTAGTTTGAAACTTATTCGTAGACTAGGAAGAAGAGAGTAAGTTCGTCTAATGCATGGCAATGTGCGTTCTTCGGTGCCTTCTGCCAGCGTGGAATACAGTATTACGTAAATGCAGTCATTGTGAGCATCCTGAACTGAATTGTAGCATTATCAGTGGTTTTCCCTTAACTTGTACAGAATGACCATGACAACATACGAAACCTACGTTGCATTCCATATGACAGGTAAGGGCAATTTGAGGTAGCGTCTCATCGCGAGTACTTGATATGAGAGTTTGAAATTCCTGAAAGACTCGTAAACGCTCAGAATCTGTAACCTGTATTACCGTCCTACTTTGGCATACGTATACAAGAATTCGTTTAGCGTAAGTGTGTGGACAAAAAGGCGGACAGACGCGATTGAAACCTGACTCTGTCAGTACGTAGTTATAGACCGACTGGCATTTTTAGGTATATAAGTTTGTTGTAGTTCATTGTATACATGGAAACCAGTTTTTCTTGAAGTCCTAAAAATTGGTTCAGTTTTTTGCGACTTCTCGTTCATCGTCAGTCTGTTGTCATGATACCCTTAGTAGATGGAGGTTCATCTCCAGAACTACTTAAGTGACGTTTTTTTTGCGTAATTTTGTTTGACATTAATGAACTCATCACGTCACCGTTCCGGTACCGGTTTCGAAGCCTCTTTTTACGTTATAACTCCTTGTTTGTACTCTGAAGAAGACCAGTGTCGCACTCTCAAAACGCAGGGAATAAAGTCTTTGTCTGACTTGGATAACTGAGATTAGCATAGAAAACAAAGCCATATCAGAAGAAGACTAGTGAATACAGAACCACGTAGAAGACCGTCAAATGAATGGGCAGAAATGGCAGTAATGACGATGCGATGCAAAGCGATTGGTCGTGCATGGAGAGTGACCTTGAGGTAAGGCAGAATATCATGCACATCGTAGCTACAGTTCTTAAAGACATTGTTTTACATATGAACAACGTGTGTGCCACTGCTGATTCAACAACGCGCAATGTTGAATCGTTTAAAAGGAGAAAACTAAGTCTTGAAACAATCTGATTTTCTTATGGCCCCATATATCCCAGCAAAAACTGTGACAGCCCCATAAATGAAAAGGGGAAAAATATGGCAGAAACCAAGTTTTCTACTGCCCTCTTTAGTACATGCGAGTTCCTTAGTTTTTCGCCTAGAATGACCCCTGCAGCGCTGTTAAGTTAATTCCTGAATGTGACGAGGTCAAGCGAGATTTACTGATGTAGTAACTTCCAAGTACTTGATTTGCATGTTGGTTTGTCACAGATATCCAGGGTACATCTCGAAACATTAATAAACGTCGGGTTCTTCATATTGCGCATCATGTGGGTTCTGTCATTGGTCTTCAGCACGCTTGCAACCAGATATCTTTAGATATATGACGCGTTTAAACGGAGCACCGACAGTTCAGTCACTCATAAACACGTCAAGCAGAAGGCGCGAACGTCAAGGCTAATAACGGCACCAATTTCGACGAATTAGCTACGATGGTTAAGGGAGTAATTTTCGAGTCAAAGAATGAGGGAAAAGTAGATGGCAATTGTTTTGCGAATGGAGGTGGAGAGGAAGGTTGTGAAATGTACGTCTCATCGGGTGGCGAATACATGAAGAACACGAAACGTCCTAAGTCAGTCATTCATCAGCAAGTCAGGCAACCACTCAGTCAAACTTGGTAGATTCCGTTTCGAAAGTTGCTTTGAAATTTCGTCCGCTTGCCGGAGCTGGGCTGGGGTTTTTAGCGATGATTCGTCAGCCGCATCATGGGATATAAACTGATGGAATATACTTCCAAGCTGATGCACGAGTCGATCACTTTTTCTGCCGCTGCACAGCGGATTTGCCGTATTTCTGCAACTGACCCACTGGAATTCCAGCTTTTGTTGTTAACAAAAGAATCTTATTGACAGTCGAATGCTAATTCAATCTGTTCTTCATCAAATGGTCGTCGAAAAACTTCATGATTAGGCAATTATGATTCCAGGGTAAAATAGACCGGCAGGACGGTCGGTGAGTCAGTGGCACTTCGAATGAGGTCACGATGTTGTATATGAGGCCAAATTTACGTCATTTTCTGCACATAATGGTTCAATGGTAAATATGGAAATTTATCGGTCGAGTAGCGTGGCAGATGAGACACTTTCTGGCAATTCTGAAGAGGACTGAAGTGAAGTTCAGAACTTCGGCTTGCACTTACACATCGACGATGACCGACGACGAAACGAACACTCATCGGGAGCACAGCTGATTCGAGTCGAACCGAATCAACTGGAACCTGTTTCCATGTTGGGTAGCTGACTTTCGTACGTTTCCGTATGACCACGTATGCCGGCCGGCCCGCCGGTCGGCCGACGCTGCTTGGTTCGTCGATGGTGCTTCAAGCACGCAGCACTCAGATGCGATGGCGACGGCATAGCCGGAATTTTTGAAAAACCTCCTCAAGGTTTGAGACTTGACTCCGTAGGGAACCGTCAACCGTCTGGCAGGCAGCCAGGAGCCAGGAGCCAGGCAGGCAGGCAGGCAGGCAGTCAGACAGGCAAGCTGGTTGGCGGCTGACTGGTATCGCTGGTGTCTGTGCGACGATGTTAGAGTGTAGGAGGTGCACGAACTGAGTTAGTTCGGCTAGCCTCAG